GGACGTTTTTAGCTGCTTTTTTCCCTAGAGACTTGATTGCCTACCAATTTTGCTCAAATTAATCATTTTAAGAGGGAACAGTGACTACCATAACCATACCTTTAGTGTGCAAGTATTGCTTGCAGGTGAAATAGTTTGAGCTGTTGTCTGTCATATGCTGGAAGAATGGACTTCAGGACTAGCAACTTGCTACAATTAAATGTTCTAGAAGCAAACGTTATTGGGTAAGAAATAATCTCTGGTTTGCTAGGAGAAGATAGACTGGTTCTAGTGCTGCTAGCTGGACTAACTAGCGCTGAATAGTCCTGCAGACCTGGAGGGTTCATCAAGATTTGTTTATGACGTTAATAGATTTAGAGGAAGTGGAAGGATTGTTGGCCAGAATTCATACGTGATAGTTGCTTGTAATCTTGACTATGAGTAGCTGACATTGCAGTTGATTTGAGTCAGGATCTTTCTGAACGTATATGGATTTTTTTTTCTTTTATGAACAGGATGCATATGATGGAGCTGTATAAAATTCATAAAACTGCTGGCTGCTAATCATAGTTATGAGAACTAGAGACCTGAGTGGAAAATTAAGAATTTATGTTGTTAATGATGAAGTACAGGATTACATATTTCATTCTGTCAAAACAGCATCAGGGTAACAGTATGATGTCGGCTAAAAATTAAGGATGGAAAGAACAACAGGAAAAACTTACAGGGAGCTGTCACCTTAGCCATGGCAGCGGTGCAAGTATCCAAGAGAAAAAAGCAACAGAAGTATCATATTTCCTTTCCTGAAGATGGTCCCTGGAGATGCCATCTTGGCTCCGCTGACGTATCCATGGCCCTGCTGTTTTAACTGTCCAGCCTGTCTGAAAAATTAGGAATGCTCGCTCACCAGCATCTCTAATGCGGTAGTAAGCAACTTTGAGGGGTGCTCTTGTAAATGCTGATAGTTTGCTGTCTAAAACCTGAAATATTTCCTTAAAAGAAATGTGTAATTATTTCACCGTTTGTCTTCATTTGTTGTTTAAGCAGGCAAGGATTGTAGCTTACAGGAGGGCATCCGGAGTGCCTAAATTCAGCTGATTATTGCATATTCAGATGAGGCATGTGTATTACACATAGTGGTCCCTTGACCGGTGGTCTTTTCCCTTACGTCCAATCAATCCTGTACTGGAGGCCTTTCATTAGCTGCTCCTACTCTCCCGATAACGATCAGGATGCAGAGCTTGATAGCAGTCTGTAACTTCTCCTGGTGCCCTCAAGCTCAACAACATAAGCTGATTGACTCAGTTAGGGCCTCAGTCTCTAACAGTAAATGCAATCAATAAATCTTTGTTGGTAAATAATTGCTATTGAACAGAGTTTTAATATAAATTTATGAGTGGTGTTTTATCACTGCTTGAGGCTACAGCAAGCCACTGAGTGATGGATTTCAGATAACACTTACATTCATTACATTAACTTTGTAAGTTATTTAAAGCTTGTACACTTAACATTGCTTTTGGCTTGCAATGACCTCCTGGGACTAGACGTAGCATACACATTACTAATAAAGAGATTGCAATATATACAGACAGTTCCTCAGTTTTCTTTGCACAGTGACGCGGTTCCTTGAGTGAAACCCAACACGTGAACTTTGTCTGCTCTAGCTGAATTATTTTTCCTGTTGCTCATTAAAAGTACAGACAGCACTATCTAGTAGAAGTGTCCTGCCAGTATAGTCCGAATTGCAATATTGGAGGGAAGGTGGGAAATTTTAATTTGGAGTGTTAAATTCTTCTCAGTTTGAGCAAATGGGAGGTGTTAAATTCTTGAAGTATTGAATCTTGAGGCTTGGGTCAGCTGTGCTGAACTGTAGTGCTAAAATTGCACATGGCAAAATGGTAGCAAAGGGAAATTTTGACACAAATTAGTCAGGATAAGTAATGTTATCTGATTAATAACAATTTGAGTTGATTTACTTAGTTCGTGGAAGTCCCTTACTGAATAGTCGGGAGAGTAAGTGTGATTTTTACAATACGCTGTGGGTATGTGTGGCCTGTTTAACTCCGGAGCGCTGTAAATATGCCCAAGCTGCCTCTAAATTGCCTTGGAGGTACGAAAGGTCAGTGGGAACCAATGTATCTGGTTTCCTAGGCAGGGTACCTGATGTGGCTTAAATGTTGACATAATGTAACTCGAGTGAAGGTTTGTGGGTTTTTTTGTTTTGTTTAAGTAACGTTTCTTGTCATATCTGGGCCATTTATTTATTTATTTTAGGTTTAGTTTAAGTGCATTTATGACTGATCTAAACTCCAGTACTAAGAGCATTTCTCAAGCCCATTCTATATAGTTATCACAGACAAAGTGATGGTGTCTGATCTTGGAAGAAAAGTGTGGTTTTATGTGCTTCTAGGCTTTGTAACGCTTTGTTAGCTTCTCGTGTTCAGAGCAGTTTCCTCTGTGGATATCGCAAAATATTTTTAATGCTCACCTAGTACAAAAATCTGTTTTTTGTGTGTAAGAGGGTCCCTAAAGAAAATGGACTAGGAAGTCTGATTTGTTAGCTAGTAAGACTTAAACAGGGAGATGTTATATGTTTCATGCTGAAGAGAATTCTCCTATGTGAAATGGGAATTTCGTTTTAAAAACAAGGTGCAAGCTTGTATAATAATGTCTTCATTTAGGTCCCAAAATAGAATTTCTTAATTTGCACCTAGACAGTAACAAAACCTCTATCTAATAAAAATACATTTTCAAAGTGTCATCACAATTTGTTGAGTTTATAATTGGCGTGGATTGGAAATCGCATAAGGAGGGACATGTTTTACCTGTAGCAAAGGGACAGTTGAAAAGGTGTGATATGTATTTCTACTTTCTTCAAAACTTATATATCTGTCTCACTGATGTGATCCTTATGGCTTAAAAGGTCTGAGGAGCAAACACATCAGAACCAGCACAAGGAAACAGCTTTAGGAGAGTAATTTTTGATCCATATAGCATAGTGATAACTAGAATTGGATCCCCCTAAATGCAAGCGTAGGTGAGGTGTAAAAGATTGGAAAGGTGAAGTGACGGATCACCTACTATAGACAAACAGACAAGTCAAAGGCAGAAATATGCTTTCATTTTTAATAGAAGAAAACAAGGTCTCTACCTGCCAGAAGGCTGTAATTGGGATACGCAGCTCGCGCTTGCCGAACCTTTTGTGAGAAACCATTGCCGAACCCTGTTCGGGTTGCTGAAAGTTTGAGGTTGAGCCGCCTAAATGTGGCAATGAACAGCACAAAAAAAAGACCTGACACCCAGCTGGTCAGAAAGTTCAAGTTTGTACTAGAGTCTAATTCGGTCGCCTGATGCAAGCTTTTACTTCCAGTCCTGTCCACAGATTGCTTTGAATTGCCAGGTTTCCCTTCTCCTTCTCGTTCGTCCACAGATTGCTTTGAATTGTCAAGCTTCTCCTGAGCTTTATTCAAAGTATTTGTCCAGCAACAGCCAGTTGTGAACCCTGATTTTTTTATTTTTTTTTTTCCCCTCCCCTCCGTGTGGAATCATCTTTCTGGTTGTAAAAAGAGCTATTAATTCACATGGGTTCTGACATGGGGCTTTAACTGAGGGTTAAAGACCTGGAATTGGGGATGGGAGGGATTTTTCTAGCTCTGGAACAGATCTAGTCGTGTAGTGGCACAGAATCGACCTGTGTGCGCTCATGTTTTGGGGATTTGGTCTGAAGAGGCAACGTTTTGTAAAGCTGCGTGTTTAGTAGAAAAGGAGATAGCGTAGCTTGCTCGCGAGACTTGATCTCCTAAAGATGTACCCGCTTTAACAAAGCCTCTACAATAATTAGAAACAGCATGTTTAATAGTGCATCTTTTTGGGTTGTTCTGCGCTCCCTAGTGCAGTTCTTCCATTTTTTTTTAAGGTTCTTTAGAATGGAAATAGTCTTTTGAGGGAATAAGAGAATTGAAACTTGTATTAGTTCAGATTCTTGGTCATGATTTATTAAAACTGATGTAAGGTGGGGGGTTTTTGTTTTAGGGTTTTTTTTAATGCTTAAAAAAATTTTTTTTTTTGGTCTTTGAAACTACTGAGTACTTGTGGTACTACTGGTTGTACTAAAATGTCACATCAGAGGTAGGGGAGTGTTGTGGCACAGCCAAGATGGTACCGCAGTGCCCTCGCAGGAGTCTGGCTAAGAGCTAATAAACTAAGGCTTTCAGTGACCAAATTACTCTGTGTGTTAGGAACTGTGTTTTGCCTTGCTTTTGGAAATCGCAGTTTCCTGGGGAAGTGTGTTGCTACAGCATGGGTTGATTTACCATCATGTTGGGTTTTGCTTTTCAAAAGGACTTTCTATTTTTAAGCTGAGAACAGATTGATATTGTATAGTAACGCTAGTTCTTTTAAGCATGATGGGATTTTTTAATCTAAACCGTTGATTGTTAAAATTCACAGTGAAAGGGAATGAAAACACAGATGTATACAGTTCCCTGCGTATGGAGAGGCCAAGCCCAACCAACAAAGGCATCCAAAAACAGGAAGAATCAGAGAAGTGCATGCTGAAGCAAGCGGAAGCTGTGATTGCATGGAAAATTCATTCATCCAGAGAGTCAACGTTTATTTTAGGGTTCTAGGAAATGCACCATTGTCTTTATCAACTTGGAGTGTGTGGGGGTAACCTCACTCTGTGTCATGTTAAAATAATACACTTTCCTGAAGAGTGAAATTCAGTGCAAAAGGGTTTTGTTTGCCTGTTGGACAAAGCCAGCTATTGATAGTGTTTTCTGCTCTCTTGACTGACTTTATGAAAGCTGTACTTAGAGCTTTTGCATCTAAGTTGTAAGCACTGGAGCTGAAGGTGGTGAAAAGGTGTGTCCCAGGAGAAATGGGGGACACTGAGCAACATGTAGGAGAAAATGTAACTAAAATGTTAGCAATTATATTTAGCTTTTTCTATGTCTTAAATAACTGTACATTGGCAAAATAGTGTTGCTTTTTTTTATTGCTTTTTTTCTTCCTCTTCACAGGGTATGCTGCTAAAACGAAGTGGCAAGTCATTGAATAAAGAATGGAAGAAGAAATACGTTACGCTGTGCGACAACGGTGTATTGACCTATCATCCTAGTTTACACGTAAGTACGCCGTGCCCTGTACATGCTGCAGATGTCAAGCCTTGATAAAGTAATGTTAGTAAGTTCTTCTGTACACATGTTTTTTGTCAAGTCCTTTTTGGTGGAGAAACTTTTCTCTCCCTTTTGCCCCTTCCCCCCTCCTCCTCAAAAAGGCACAATCTGAAATAAAATTCCACAGTGGAAGTGTATGTGGACAGTAAGGGTCCTTTAAATCCACTGGAACTTGAATCCCAAGAGGCAATTAAAAAGGTTCAAGTGTTCATTTTGCACTGATGCTTTGTGTGATCTTGCTGTCAATGCCAGGATTAAAAAGCACCACCACTGACAAAAGTACTTTATAAGGGAAAGTGTCCTGGGTGAAGCCAGTAGTGAGGAAGTTTTCTGGTATTTGTCAACTTGCAATGGTTATGATTTATTCAAGAAAGTACTCTTGAAGAGCTTTTTGAAAATGATGTAGCTATTAAAATATGTGCCATAAAGTATTTTTAATGTTAGTGTCTAATATCGTTTCTGCCCACGGATGTTGTCTGTCCCTCTGTGTGTGTAGCACAATCCATGGATGGAAGGAGAGTGGCAGTCTAACTCAGTACAAGCACGTCTTGTAGCTCCTTGCCATGTTGGCAAAAGGGAAGATGAGATTTCCCAGAGATCTTTCCACACCAAAACAGTTCAGAAGGTAGAGCCTAGATGGAGACTACGATTCGGGGAACTCTTGCACAATCCAGGCTCTTCTGCTTACTCTCTAGTACAGGCAAGAGAAACACAGAAAACGTTTCATGACCCTCACCAAGATCTTTGGAGTAATATCAGGTCTTATATTTAGTAATAAGTCCCACTGGAAAGTTAAAGAGGGGCTGGTTGCATCATTTTTGGGCCAGTTGTTTCTAAAGCCGTTGGTATCGTTATGGGCAATCTTTTCATTCAGAAGTGCAAATCAAGGTTCCAACCAGATGTGTTTCTGTAGGTGTGCCTTGGGGCTTGTAGACCTGCACGTGGATCTGGAAGACACCTTCTGTTTCCGATGTGCGAAGTCTCAGGAGCATAGCCACACCGCTGTTGTGATTGCACCAACTTTGTGTTCCCTGCTTGCTAAATATGAGTGCTTTCTCTGGCTTGTCACAAGACTATATAGTCTCAATTCCTGCCCTGATAATGCTTTGGCATAGTTTCTGATGTCACTTCCATGTCTCTTAAAAATTATTTAGTAAGCTGCGTGACAGCTAGCTGCAAGGCTTTGCTGCTTTCCATCAGAAATCACGTCCCTCAACCCTTGTATTACATAGTGAGGTTTTGTCCTTTTTTTTCACTTCTCCTTTTTGCGGAGCTAGACAAGCGTCTTGCTTCTTTGGTTGAGTGTTGGGAGAAGCTGCCTTAGCACCTTTAATGTTTGGAAAATCTGCAGCGGAATAGTCTCGAAATACATGAATTACGTATTGGTATTGCTCACAGAAGGGAAGCCTGGCTAGCACGTGTGTTTGAGGCACTCCTCCTCCTGCACTGATTTCCCTCCGACTGTGATGGCCAACTGTGGGTCATCACGGCAGAAGTGAGCAGGCAGCCCTCACTTGTGCCCAAGTCCCTTCCTTGCTTTGTCCAAGTGCTCTATTGTTCCCACCCGTGGATATGCACGTGTTAGTTTTTCATTGCCTGTTGCAGACAATAGAACACTTCTCTCCAGGCTTCCCTGGAGCTGCTTAGTCTCCCCCAGAGTGAGAATCCTTTGAGATTAGAGGTAATTACTTTGAGATTAGAGGTAAATCCACTGGAGATTAGAAAGAATCCATTTAAAGAAGAAGTAATTACTCGCCTGTAATTGTTTCCCTCTATCCCCCACCGTGCCCCCCCCCCAAAAAAAAGGTACCCATCTCTGTATTTCTGTTTGCACAGGCCTTCTTTCATACATCTCCAAGGTTTGTAACTTGCTTCTTTTCCCTTGGCTGTATTTCAGCAGGTAGTGGGTAAGGGAGCACACTTGTCTCCGACTTGACAAGAAACTACTGGGGAAAAAAGTAATACCTGTTCAGGGGCTTCTTGAGACACCCTCATCAAATCCAGTTTCTAGGAATTCCTAGGGTTTTGCTCATTCACATTAAAATCTTTCTGTGGCATGGTTTATCCGATAAATGGTGCATTTTCAATGACGTGTTTCTATTGACTTTAGCCTTGAAAGAGTCACCGCGTTACTTTTGCAGTGCGTTTCAGTGCATGTTTATTGTCAATTAGCTGTCATTAAGAAACCCTGCAGTCCTTAATCCGTCAGTCAATTGTACACCAGTCAGTTACTGTAAACATATTTCTTTTTTTTATACCTTGCAATTCATGATAATGTTGCCGGTCATTTTGACATGCTCAAAGGTATCATTATGAGTCAAAAACCTCCACCTGAACCAGAGAAGCAACGCAAGGCGGACTTGATGTTTTCATCCCAGTGCTCCCCTCTCCTCCTCCTGCGCTGGGCTTGGAAATGTATGTCCCATCTCCTCTGCCTAATTCAAGCCACAGTGGGAAGAAGGAGCAGGGCCACATATTTAAAGCCAATTGCGCTCTCACGACAACTTACACAAAATTTTATAGGTAGCAAAGCCAGAAAATTAGAGTTTGCTCTTGGGTGGTGCAGGCTGAGTGGGTTTTCCCCCGGACTAGGACTCCACCAGTGTGTTTCTGGCTTGCTTGTTTCTGGGTTTTGCTTATCTAACTGCTAGTTTCTTTGTTCACAGCAAACCAAAGAAACTGATACTTTTTGTTGTTTTTCTGTTTTTTAATGATGTGGTTGTGTTGCTATTTCAGCTGTTTTGTAATGTTGTTTTGAAAATGAAAGGCATTATTCTCATCAACCTTCCCATTAAACAACATGAAAGAAAAGCACTTCTGTTAATCGCCTAAAGTCAGTTTCTTAAGCTCGTGAGAAAGCTTGACTTTAACTACTTAGTTATTTTCAGTTATTGCAAGTATGCAGGTCATTTTAGTTATTCAAAATTTTGCAGTTGTATTTTTTGTGATGCATATGGTGGGCTGGCCTCTAGTGGTGGCAGGAATACATGAAGTTAGAAGAAAGCTTGGTAGGACTTTGAAAATTTGCATTGGGAGAACCTATTAAAATATATATAGTGGCTGATAGTGAGCACTATGTTAAATACTGCTTGACATATGGCCCTAAATGGATCAGTTGTCTCTACTGTCAGATGTGTCAGCTGAAGGCGGTGGTTTTTATTATGGTGAACGTGTGCATATCGCACAAATCAGTACCGTTGTCCCCTTCTAAAAAAGAGTAGCCTACAAAATGAAAGCTTTTGAGATGAGGGTGGAAATCAAGTTAGCATCTCCGAGATATCCCTGGAAGGGTCAAGCTGGTTTGGCAGGGTAGCATATTGAAACGACTGCTATATTGTGCCAGCTAAATAAGTGACTGTGAATGCCACCAGCTTGACGTTTTACACAATAGCTAAGTGGATATTCCTCCTTTTTAAGAAAGTGGAGGAAGAGAATAACGGGGAAAGAAAAAATATGTACATAAGCACCCTACTGTTTTCTGACTTGGTCATGTTAGGTTTTTTTTTCAAGAGCCTCAAACCTTCCCTTCCCTCGGGATGCCTAGGAGCTACAATGATAGAAAACGTTGGGGATAATGAGAGAGCACTTTGACCTGCAGGCTTCAAAGTTCACCCGAGCTCCCTATTCATCTTCTACTTCTAGAGTATAGCCATTGAGTGGAAGACTAAAATTCGGGCTGACAAATTCAGCATCAGCCTCCCCAAGGGGACCCATGGGAATTTGTCTAGGCATCTCCTGGCTTTTAATGGCAGCGTGCCATGTGTAAGGGCTCCTGAAATGCATTCACCAGGATACATGCTGGGCACTGCTGCATGCGGCTTCTTTATGTAAGCCTTGTCCTGAGGAATCGCTGATGATGTTTCACCTCTGTCCCTCTTCCTGAGGGTTGCCATCACGCCATAGGTCAGTAGATGACAAACCCTTGGTCGTGGACGTCCATTTGTGCTGCTGTATCCCCATGATACAGGAGCTGCCCCTTGTTTAAGAAGGGGAAAAAAACCCTGAAAACTTAGATTTTTCAGAGAAGGTATTTTTTCCTGTTATATTTAATTTGTTCTGGATGCTTGCTCAAATGAGTGCACAGCACTAGGGCAGCTTATGAGGGAAAAAGAGCTTCGTAAACACATTAGAAGGAAGGTCTCATGACCATTCCTTAAAGCCCATCTAGACTGTGCATGGTATATACATGCTATGTCCCTATACAGCAAGGTTTGCTTTAACTTGCTGAGGTCTGTGCAGCAGTGATGCTCATATTTAAATCCTGCTCCCATCCTCACTGATCTAGTCTGATAACCTGCACTAAGGCGCGTAGGATTGTAGCAACGATTGAGGGGGAGAAATCTATCCTGCGTCTACTTTGAGAATTCAAAGGGTGAATTCAATGGGTCTGCTCAATTTGTGTGACTTTAGCCACAATTTTAAAACTCTTTCTTAAAAATAGTGCTGACTGGGACTTAGCTTATGTGAGCTAACTCAAGGAAAGCATTAGCAATGTTTTTCTGTCATCCAATCAAGTGGGATAGATCAAAAAAAAAAAAAAAAAGAAGAAGAAGAAGGTGAAACTTGAGCATAGCCAGGAGTCATCTCTGATACTAGGCTAAACTTTGCACAAAGATTTCAACAATGTATTTTAAAGATCCACCTTCTTAGAAGGTCGTATAAACACAATACTTTATCAGAGACTTGGGGGCGATAGGTTGGGTTTTTATGGAGTTTCCTTGTTTGTTTTTTCCTGGCTAGACTCTTTATGACAAATGGAGAGGCTTTTGAAATTGGCATGTATATTAAAATCTGGCAGTGGTGCAGATCCTTGGACTTTTCTCAATAATATTTAGTCTCAATAATATTTATATATCTCATAATATTTAGTGCAATTTGATGTACTTTTGACCATTATTAGTTCTCATGATTTTCCTGAAAAGTTTGAAAATGGAAAGCCAGCTTGCAAA